GGCTCCGCGGCGGGGCGGCTGGACGCGCGCCGCGTTGCGGTACGAGATGCTCCCCTTGTAGCTGACCCGGAGCACGGCGCGCTGCTGGATCAGTTTCTCGAGCTCCGCGCGCGTGCGCTCGGGCTCCGGGCCGTGCCGCCGCCGCACCATCCGGCAGATGCGCTCCAGGTCCGGCCGCGCCTTGCGCGAGCGCAGCGAGTCGATGGTGTCCAGAATCCACTCTTGATAGTGCGGGGAAGCGGCGGACGACGAGGCGGCGGCCGCCGTGGTGGCGGCCGCCGCCGTCTCCGGCGGGGGTAGGGCCGGGGGCCCCGCCATGCCTCCCGCCCGGCCCGGCTGCACGGTGCGCGCTGCCTCCCTCCCAGCGCGGCGCCCCCTCCCCGCTCCCCTCCCTCCGCCGCTGCCCGCCTCCTCCGCCTCCCCCCGGGGGGCGCAGCGCCTCGGGGGAGCGGCGGCGGCGCGGCTGTTTCAACGCAAAAAAAATCACAGAGGGACAAAAAAAAGAGAGAGAGAGAGAGGAGAGCGCGCGAGAGAGACAGAAAAAAAAATAGTGAGAGAGAAAGAAAAGAGGAAAAAAATATGCACACACTCACTCACTCGCACGCACGCACACAACAGCCCCGCTTCTGCTGGGCGCGCGCGGGGCCGGGGATGCGAGGAGGGAGGAGGGGAGCGCGGCGCGGCCGGCCCCTCCCCGCCGCCGCCGCCGCACGCGCGCCCTGCGCCCGGGACACTCCGGCCCCCCTTCCTGCTCGCCCTCCCCCGCTGCCCGCCTTCCTCGCTCCCTCCCACCCCCACGCGCCCGCTTTTAAGGTGGAGCCCGGGCCCCCGCCCGCCCCGTGTACCCGGCGCTCTAGCTCACTCCGGCTCGCTCCGGCCCCCCCTTACAACTCCCGCGCGCTTTTTAAGGAGGCGCCGCGGAGTTGGCGCCGGAGCGGGGGCGGGGAGCGCGGCGGGCGGGGGAGGGGAGAGCAGGGGGGGAGGGGACAGGGGCGGGCGGGGCGCGCGGGCGGCGTTCGGCCGCCCTCCAGCCATTGGGCGCGGGACCCAGACGTCCTCGGCGCCCAGCCCCCTCTCCACGCCTCTCCGCGCGCAGCGCTCTCGGGACCGCACTTACCGGGAACTAGCCGCGCCGCGGCCCGACGCCCCGCGCTCCTAGGGAGCCGCGGAGAGCTCACTAGCGGCCCTGCCGCGCCTACACGAGGGCTTGGGGGCGCGCGGGGCTCCCCCTTTCTCCTTCTACCCGGCCGATCCCGCTGCCGTTCGGTCGAACTGGTCCGGGCGGCTCCCTCCAGTGGCCTCTTGGTCCCGGACTACACGAAGTAGAGGTGCGAGCAGATTTGAAGACCAGAACTCAGGGTCAAAGGACAGTTTGCCCACCCCACCCCTTCTTTCTCTGGCAGGGCGGAGGAAGTGCAGGAATTCCAGCTAAACCTGGTTTCTCCAGGGTCCCGAGGCCAGGGTCTCCCGAGCCTCGACGCTGAGGTCCGAAATTCCCTTTCCAACACCCGGAGGGTGTGATCGAAGTCGGGAATACCAGCGACACTTTTATTTTAAAACAAAACTTTATTGGTAATAGTTTTCAAATATGTTTACAACAGCACACTGTTCAAGAGGAAGTCTCATCCTTCGAAGCACACAGGTTGAACGGCCCCCCTCGCCCCTGGGGCCCCCACCCAGGCCTGAGAGCTCCTCCTTTTTGGGAGAAGTTACGAGAGGGATAAACACAGGGATAAATGGGGTAATTTCCCCAGCAGCTCCCCACCTTTCTATTGAGAGAAAAGCACAGTCAGACTTGGGGGTGCAGTGAATGGGGATGCACACAGCAAGAGGTGATGGACAGCTGACAGCTAAGCTAGAAGTGAGGCGCTCAGGATGGGGAGGGGCTGATGCACGGAAGAGTTGGCATGAGACCCCTAGAAAAGGGCTGGGAGGCTAGCAGCTCAGGGCGAGGTTCAAAGCCCGGTTCCTTCCTTGACAGAGTCAGTTGGCTACCCCGGTCTCATCAGGATGGATTTGTGGAGCAAGGTAGTTTGGGAGGGCGGGGCAGTTTGGAGGATGGGAGGCACTGGTGGAACTTAATTTAAATGAAGATTAAAAAAAAAAAAAAAAAAACTAAAACAAGAACAAAAACAAAACAAAAAAAAAACCCACTAGCAAGCAGCCCTCTGTACACGTCACTAAAAATCTCCCTTTCCAAGTAGGACTGCATGGAAGGGAAGGTTGGCTTTTCTGTCCATCCTTAGTGTCCAGTGCTGGGGTGAGGGTGGAGGCTGAATTTGGGCCCCTCTTTCCGTACCCTGCCCCTGGATACACCAGCAAGATGGGGTGTGACTGGAGCTAAGAAATGCATTGAAAACAGGCAGAGAAGTGTGGGGGAGAATGGCGGGAGGGGGAACAGCTGATGTTGCCCCTTCCCCAGTATCTGGCTTTCCTGCTCTCCCGAACCCTGGGGGGTGTGGAGTGGGTGTTAAATTAGATGCATGGAACTCTAGGGCCCTCTGGCTGTTCGATCCAACCCTCCCACCCCCAACCAGGAAAAAAAAAAAAAAAAAATAGAAAGAAAAAGAAAGAAAGAAAGAAAACCCATGGGGCTCAAGCACACCCCTAAAACTCAGTAAACTCCTTGCCACACTTCTCAGTGATGGAGACCCGGATCTCTTCCTCCTCATAGTCGTCAAAGTTACTCGTGTCCCCAGGGCCTTTAAACTTTGGTATGAAGGGAGCTTCCACCTGGAGAGATTAAGAACCACCCAGAGCTTATTAGCCAACCTTACCATCATTACAACAATAAAAGTGAATGGCCAATAATCAGAAGACACTTGCTGTAACCCAGGCCTGTGCTCAACGTTAGGGCATAAGTGTCTTCTTTGCAACCCAACTCAGCAAATGGAAGTCATGTCCCAGAGAATATTTCCTGTCCAAAGCCACAAAGTTGCTAGAGGACCCAGCATCCCATGCATATTCACTTACTAGCTTCAGGAAGCTCTTGTTTAATCTCAAGCTTAATAGGCTGTTTGCAAGATCCTATCCCTGATTCCTGGCCTTTCCCCAACTTTGGGCATGCTGGGGAAAAAGAAGCCCACCTTTCTCTGATAGATGGCAATCCAGTCAGTTGTGGCAAACCACTTGTGGTTCTTGATGTCATTGACCCCGTTCTTGAGGTTTCCAAAGCGCTTGGTAAGATCCACCTGTAGAAGGTTCCGTAGCAGGTCCTTCAAGTCAGAACTGAAGTGGGATGGGAACCGCACCTGGAAGGGGGTGTAGACAGAGTGGGGTGCTGCTCACATACTTAGGGGGTCCAGAATGCTTTTTCCATTTTTGACAGGATCTCCCTCAGCTAACCCCACCCCTAGACAAGGTTTCTCTGTGTAGCCCTGGCTGTCCTGGAGCTCTCTGTAGACCAGGCTGTCTTCAAACTCAGAGATCAACCTGCCTCTTCCTCCTAAATGCTGAGATTAAATGTGTGCACCACCATACCAGGTGAGACAGAATTTTAATGTATAGCTCAAACTGGCCTTAAACCCATGATCCTGTCTCCTAGCCTCCTGAGTGCTAGAACTACAGGTACACACCATACTCGAACAGCCCTACATGGAATCTGTTAAGATGGCTTGTAGGGCCCAGCAGTGGTGGCCCACAAGTTTGAGGCCAGCCTGGGCTACAGAGTGAGTTCCAGGACAGCCAAGGCTGTTATATAGAGAAACCTCGTCTTGACACAAAAAGGCTTGTTGGAGTGTGGTGGCACTTGCCTATAATCACAGCACTGAGGCAGAGGCAGGTGGATTTCTGTGATGTGAGTTTAAGACCAGCCAAGGCTACATAATGAAGACCTTGTCTCAGTGGGGCTTGGGGGGCAGGAAGATGGCTCATTCCTGGGCCAATGGACCATTCTGGTCTTGCAGAGAACCTAGGTTTGATTCTAGTGCCCACATGGTGGATGACACCACCTGTCACTCCATTCCTGGGATATCCAATGCCTTTGGCCTCCAAGGGTACCTGCACTCATGTGTACACACCTACATACAGACACACACATATACACATAATTAAAAAATAAAGTAGGTAAAATATAAACAACGATGGCCTATTGGAGCTAGCGCTACAGCTTTGTGACAGGTCAGTAGCCTAGCCCACACAGGACTCTGCCTTTAGGTCCCAGAGGCCATGTCAAAAAATATACCTTGAGTCCCCTCTGGGTTTGCTGGCTTGGCAATTGTGGGTAAGGCCTGAGAATCTACTACCCCAAGGTCACATGGAACAGAACTATAGAGAGGCCCTGCCTCAGGTCTCTAGACTTGTACTGTATCCCCTCAGCTGCGATTCTTCAGGTAGCTCTGCTGACTGAGGTCTGATGGCTTCTGAAATAAGGATATTTCATCACTCTGGATAAACTGACTTGTACATTCCTTAAAAAGCCAGTACAGTTCTTCCAGTCATGCACCTCCAAAGGCTCTTGTACGTCCCTGTATGCAGCCCCTAGATTTATACCTGTAAGAACTGGCTTCACGGAGCCAGAGATGATGGCACAAGCTTGTCATTCCTATACTTGGAAGGCTAATTCAGGAAGGTTGAGTGCCAGGGCCCCATATTAAGACCCTGTTGTAAATCAATCAGTCAGTCAGTCAAACATACAAAATGGCTCAGCAGGTAAAGGTACTTGTTGCTGAGCCTAATAATCTAAGCTTGATACCCAAGGTATCATAGTAGGCCAGAACTGACTCCTGAAAATTGACCCTGACTTACATACACTGACACAGTGCCACAAGCATAATGAACTGGTGTTAAAAAAATAAAAATTAAAAAAAAAAAAAAAAAGGAAGAAAGAGGAGGAAGGAGGAAAGAAAGGTAAGGCAGACTAGCAAGAAAAACAGACCAAAGAATGGAAAGAAACAAAGACAAAAAGAAAACCAGCTGGTGTCTGCTATGCCTTTCCAGTGCCGTGTGACCTTGGCTGGGGTCCTTGACCTCTCCAGGCCTGTACTGGCCTCAATGACATGGGGCAGATATCCCAGGGTTCTGTGTGACAAGATAACACAGCCAGGGCCCGTGGGAACTGTAAGTTGTTACAAATAAGGGGCTTATGCTCAGCCATGTGTGGTGGCACACACCCTGGTGTTCACCAGGATTTGGGAGGGAGCAGCAGGACCCGAAGTTCAAGGGTAACCTTGATTACTTGTGGAACTGGAGTCCAACCTGAGGCTCTTAGTTTTCAAAACAACAAAATGCCCAATGTTAAAAGGGAATTCGCTCTCCTCCTCAGAATCTTCCTTGGAGTTTTTTGTACCCTCAGCCATCATCTTGGACATTTCAATTTTTCATTTTGTGTTTCTTCTGAGTGACATTCTGTAACATTGCTCAAAATCTCTAATTTCACAACAATCCTCCTGCCTCAGCCTTCTGAATT